AAATTATTGAATGGGTGTATGTATTCTTGTGTATATTTTCACCAAAAAGAAAAAAAATTAAAGTGAAACAGCAGAGATGTATGTCAGAACTTCACTTGTTTGTCAATGACATGGGAGACTTCTTTACTGAATCAGATAATTGTTTTTGAATATCGGAGGAATAGTTCCTCAATTTTTTTTTTTTTTTTGGTGTTTACTCTGTAATGACAACAGACAGGACACTTTTAAGTTTAATTTGTATCAGTGGTTCTCAACGTGAGAGATTTTGCTCCCCAGGGGACATTTGGCAATGTCGGCAGATATTTTTGGTTGAAACAACTAGAGAAGGTGTGCTACTGGCATCTAATAGATAGAGGCCAGGGACATTCCCCTCCACCCCCACAACAGTTATCTAGCCCAAGGTTGAGAAACCCTGATCTATATTATTAACATTTTTTTCATCACTTTTTAAAGTCTAGATAGTCAATTAAATGATAACTCAAGCCCCAATTTGTAGTATTTGCCAATTTCTGTAGTGTAAATACTCCCACCATGGCTGATTTCAAGTTACTAATGTGACATCACCAAATGTAGAGTTGATAAGAGCTGTACTGTAGCACACCATTAAAAAACAACAAAACAAAAGCAGTTGCTGTTGAGGCAACGCTGACTCCTGATGACCTCATGTGTGTCAGAGTAGAATTGTGCTCCATAGGGTTTTCAATGACTGATTTTTCAGAAGTAGATCACCAGGCTTTTCTTCTGAGGTGCTTCTGGGTGAACTCGATAGTGGATGAGAGCATTAACCATTTGCACCATCCAGGGACTCCACCATGAAAATATACTACTCATATATAACCTCAGGAGCACAGATAATAGTAAAATGTAGTAAGATAGTAAGTGATGGGTTCTGTGTATTTTTTTACCTTTGTTTATAATATGTTATTTAATCTTAAGTAAAAACTTACTTAATTTTTAATAATGGCTGTGTTTAACAGCTAGCTCACACAATTCTTGAGAATGTAACAACAGGCTCTTACAGGTCTGGGTGGATGGGCTGGCTTCAGCATGACACCGAAAGTGCTCTCCACCACTCTCAAATTCACACATTTCCCGCTTCTTGGAAAGATTGACTCAATTCCAATTCCAGTTTTTTTGGGAATGGACTCAGATTGGCCCATATTTGGACAGGTACCTACCCATGGTCTAATTATACAAAGTGTGATTAGATACATGGCTGAATCCAAAGACAGTGTGCCCCCTTTCTATTGGGAAGTTCCCAAATGAGGCACCATTCTGAATGGGTGAGCACCCTCAGAGGTGTCTATGACAACGCTGTAGACACCGTCTGACATCTGCTTCCTCTTCTACTTCTGTTTCTCAAGACCACATGCAGACAGCTCTTCTGATTCACTCACATTTCCTCCCAGAGAGATTTCAACATAATATATTAGATCATGGTTCTTAAAGTATGGTCCCTGGATCAACAGCATCAGCCTCACTTAGTAACATATTCAAAATAAAAATTCTCAGGCCTTACCTCATACCTACTAATGAGAAATTCTGGGGATGGGGACCAGCATTCTATGTTTTAACAAGCCCTCCAGGTTATTTGTGGCATGCCAAAGGTTAAGGGTCATCATATTAGATTATGTAGCTTTTTTTTGGGCCACATTCTATCCCTTAGGGAAGCAACAGGACAAATCCTGGTCATCCTGATTAAATTCAGTATTTCCCTCCAGTCTCCAAAAGTGACAAATCATTTTTTTATGGTGAGTTACTCCTAGGGAGGAAAAATCTTATCAGTTGTACATTGATTTTTACTATTTCTTCTCTTAGAGATGATTGATATTTAATTTCTGGGGATATTTTATTATCGTTTCATATATACTACTAAATCATATCTCTCTTATATAATTTATCTTTTCAGGATATATTCCTTGATTATCCAACTAGCTGGTAACTTCTTTAAGGGTAGAGACTATGTATATGTATTTGGTATAGGCCACAGAACCTAGTATAATACAGAATTCATAGACAACATTTAAATATTGGATTGAATAACTATGAAGACCTTAAAAATCTTCCTTTTTTTCTAATCCTTGACTTTCTTTTACTGGCATTATTTAAAATTTATCAATGTAATTTCTAAAGTAGATATGCTGGAAAAATTTATAAAGAATTTCAATAATAATTAAATAAAACAGAAAATAACTGATATCTGGATTTCCCCCCTTAAATTATGACTGTCTGGATTATTCCCGCAATTACAGAATTTTTACCAAATTGTGGTATAAAGAACAAAATAAGAATGACCAGTGGTTCTAATGCCCAAATAACTGCTTGATATTTTGCTGTGTTTTCTTCCAATCAAATTTCTATGTATATACTACTGTACTTGCTTCTTTTACAAAACAGAGAATACATGCTGTGTTAGGCTGGGTTCTCTAGAGAAGCAAAACCAGTAAAGCGTATAAATATATATGTATATAGAGACATTTATATCAAGGAAATGGCTCATGAAGTTGTAGAGGCTGTAATGTCCCAAGTCCATGGGTCAGGAAAGAGGCTTCTCCTGATTCACACAGCTGCAGGGGCTGGCAAACCCAACATTGGCAGGCCAAGAGCAGAGCTGTTGCTTACAGGCTATGAAGATGGATGAATCCAAGATCAGCAGGCAAGACTGCAGGCAAGCTGGTAGCTCAAATCCCAAGAACCAGAGGTCAGACAAACAGGAGCCAACTGCAGGATCCAGAAGGAGCAAAGCCTCTGAACCTTGCCTTAATATTCACCCACACCCGATGCAGTCCACACAGCCAAGAAAATGCCCCTTCAACTGATTGGCTACTCACAGCAGATCCCATCATGTGGTGATCACATATCAAATCTCAACAGGGAAGTGATCACAACATTACACGACTGCCAAAACACTGAGAATCATGGCCCAGCCAAGCTGACATACAGTCTTAAGCATTACATATGCTATAATTAAAAACAAACAAAAAACATTGCCGTTCAGTTGATTCTGACTCATGACAATCCCATGTGTTACAGAGTAGAACGGCTCCATAGAGGTTTTTAGTCTGTAATCTTTATGGAAGCAGATCACCAGGCCTTTCTTCCATGGTGCCACTGGGTAGGTTCAGACCACCAACCTTTAGGTTAATAGTCGAGCACAAACTGTTTGCTCTGCCCAGAGACCTATAGTTATAGTTTCATTATTCTACATTTTTTCAATAAATATTATATCATGAGCATCCCTATATGATTGAATTTTTTTTGAAATATGGTTTTTAATGGTTCCATGTTATTCAATTGATTTTATGAACTCTAAATTAACCATTCTCCCATTTAGGACATTTGGGTTGTTTCAAACATTTCATTTTTTAAATACCTATTTTGATGAGATTCATATTTTTTAAATGAATACATTCTCTTTTAGAGTCAGGATTGATTGGTTCTTTTGAGTGTTTCTAGACTCTCCTGGTCATCTTTTTTTCCCTTCTATATTGAAAAGCTTGCTCATCAGTTTGTTCGCTCAATCACTCATCTCTGTTACTCTTTGAACTTGGGCCTTATAGAGTGAAGTATTTAATGCACATGTTTACATAAACATCAAAATCAATGGATGTCTAAAATTTAAAAGGAGGCTCTGTTTATGGTAGCTAGTGGCCTTCTCTGGTCTACCTTGATCCTATCCTATCTCACCAACTATTGTATTCTCTGTAAACTTTCAGTACTTTACTATCATGCATTCAACCATTAAGATTTTTGTGTCATAATCTCTAGTCCCTAACTTGGGAAAACGTTAATAAAGTATTATTGTTTATTGAATTATAGGTGACCCAGGAAATCAATATCCATGCAAGACTCTTACCATCTTTTGTTCATGGACCTTTACTTTATAAAATATCTTAAGTTTTCAAAGCCCTAAAAATTATCAAAGCATCTTATGTCAGACAGTGAGTTAACTTCCTATGTTGATTTATTTCTGGCAAAACTCAGATATCTTTTAGATGAAATATAACACATGTACACACACACACACACACACACACTCACTCACACACACACACAACAAAGCTTCCTAAATTTAAGTGAACAATTCTCTATCATCTTTTATTTTGATAAACCTACCTAATTATAAACTGACTGAAGTGAATATTTTATCCTCCTTGAGTGGGTATGTCAAATACTGTTCAATTATGATTTAACTAGAATTTTTTAAAAGCTCCAATGGCACAGAACCAAAGCTAAATGTGTTTTAAATACTTTTTAGAGTCTTATTTTTAAAAAATTTCTGACATAACTTCTCTCCTTAGTGTAATTTTTTTTCTTGGGTTCGATTTAAAAAAGAAAGAAAAGAATTTGTGATTACATCTTCATTAATCATGTCATCGAAATTCTTGACTGCTGAGGACATGGCCAATAAGATTATCTCAGTTAGCTTGAGGTAAATGTCCAATTATCTTCAAGATATGTAAGCAACCTAGAACTGAGGGGGTAGAGACACATTTACTTCTGAAATGATGTAAATGGACGTGGTTGTTTAATTTTGCAGGAAACCTTAACAGGCTTGCAATGAACACTGCCCTTTTACTCTATACCCATGAGCTAGTATTATTATTCAGCTTTTTCTCACTCTCTATTACATAATTAATTTTGGCAAGCAAGTAACTTCAGGGACCCTGATATGAATTTCTGCTATCATAAGCAAAGGTCTTACCTTAATTAACATAATCGAGGAGCTACAAGGACACTTTTGTACTTGCGCTAAGTCAAGCAGGTACAATAATTTACAGTTAAAAAATATAGCATATTGACTCAATACAACGCAGAAGATTAGGGTTTTCATTCCAAGTTCATTTATACTTCTACCGGTGAAAACTACAGGCGCGCTGCCGGAGGACACTGCTAGGGGGCGATAGCATGTACTGGCTTCGTCAACAACAGGGGCCCTGGAACGCTCTCTTACCTTCTCTTGCTTACCTTAACTTCCGCCGGAAGTGGTTCCTACCAGTTGTTGTCCTACGGTAGTGGGTTCACGGCTGTTGGCTGGGAGTGGTTTGCATGTTTCCAAAGAGCAGGGGAGGGGAACTCGAGCTTAAACCGGGGCAGCGAGATGGACATTCTCAAATCGGAGATCCTTCGGAAGCGGCAGTTGGTGGAAGACAAGAACCTGTTGGCGGTGAGAACCCTTGGGATCGTGAGGGGTTGGAGATCGAGGAGTTGTGGGGGTGGCGGTGGGGGTGGCGACCCTGGAGGTGAGGGTGACTGTACTGAAAGGATTCGGGGCAGGGATGGGGCTTAGCAAGAACCCCGCCACTTCCCCGGAACAACCCTTTCTAGATTCGTTCACTGACATCTGATCAGAAGCCTTAGGGATGTAAGCGTGGGAATTCCAGGAAAACCCAAGATTTTGACAATCTCCGCCCACCCTCCAACTGCCTCATTTCCCTCGCGGGACCCACTCATCATCTGTCCATATTCTTCGGTTGTGCCCCAGTTTTTCTACCGTTTTCTTAAAGGGTTCTGCTCAACTGAAACATAGAGAAAGGGCAGTCTCAGAACTATTTTTAAAGTCTTTGATTCCGTCCTTCCACTAAAACTTCCATCTTTTTAGTATATTCCTCAACTCTAACCCCTCTACGCCTTCAGGACTACAGTCTGTTGTTGGTTAGCTCTTCATTGATGGGAAGGCTAAGAATGTTTTGGAGAGATACTAAAAAAGAGGAGAAAGAATTTAGGAACTTCCTAAATTGATCTCCATTACTTAACAATAACTTACATCACTAGGTCTCAAAGCTTTTGATCTCAAGACCCCTTTACACTCTTAAAAATTATTGAAAATCCCAAAGAGCTTTTATTTATGTCTTATATGTATTGATACCATATTAGAAATTCTACTTCCTGAGGAATTTAAAAAATATTTATATATTCATTAATCTGTATAACTCAGTGAACCAAAGGAACATATTGGTTCGCTGAGTTATGCAGATCTTCCTGATGTTGACACATTTCATTACACAATGTAAAAATATCATATTCTTTAATATCACTGCTGTCTTATGAGAAAAATCTTTAAGTATTGGGAAGTTGTCCAGCGCATGGTGGCAGATTCAAGTTTTTCACAATTTTAATTTTTACTTCAAAGCTGTAATTTTATCATACACAACAAATGCTGTCAGTTTCCCTGAAGTGACAGGCTTACTTTGTTTATTTTTGGAAAATTGTTTGCCAGATACCCAAGTCTGAATAACCATAGTTTCTCAATTATTCTTTTTTTCCCTGTTATTCTTTCAGTAAAAAATGGTGTTCCATGAAAAAAAGCGTCTAGTTTAGTTTGCAGCTCAATTACACAAATGCTTGTCCCTCAAACAAGTATCATACTTTGGTATAAAGGGAAAATGCTTTATACATCCCATTTTGGTACGCAGGATATTAAAATGTAGTCAAGGATCAGGATTTAAGAAAATTAATTTTACTGCTTCATCTAGGAGATTAAGTAACTTGTGCCCCCCCCCCCAACTATGAGTGAAGAATACAATGACTACCACAGCCTTGCTTCTTGCTAAGGGTGCAGCAGACTTACCATCACTTTTCACCTTCAGTGCAAATGTCAACAAAGTGAACAAAGCAAGTAACATCTTAGTATTGAAGATAGTTTTGACCTCACAGATTCTCTCCAGGGGTTTTGAGGACCCCCAGGAATCTGTGGACCACACTTTGAGAACCTCTGACGTATATCTTTGGGTGTAGTGTATGATTATGCAGACCCTAAGTAAGTTAGGACTGTTACCTTGCTGGATGGCAGATTTCATAATCATGGAAGCTTTAAAACAATTAGGAAGATGGAGCTAATTAAATAGATTGTTAATTAACAGTAAAGGGGGAAGAAGCATATCCAAATCTGCAACTTAGTATTTTTATCTCTATCTCGGGGACCTTTTTCTTTTCTTTTTTTGTTTATTGTTGTAGTTTAAGTGAAATTTTACATTGCAAGTTAGTCTCTCATACAAAAATTTATACATACGTTGTTATGTGACCTTAATTGCTCTCCCTGTACTGTGACAACACACTCCACCTGCTCCTGATTTCGCATGTCCATTCAACTAGCTCCTAACTGTCTCTGCCTTCTCATCTCACCTCCAGACAGGAGCTGCGCATTTAGTCTCGTGTATCTACCTGAGTTAAGAAGCACATTCTTCACGAGTATCCTTTGATGTGCCACAGTCCAGTCCAATCTTTGTCTGAAAGTTGGCCTTGGGAATTGTTTTAGTTCTGGGTTGACAGAGAGTCCGGGGATCGTGCTTTCTGGGGTTCCTCCAGTCTCCGTTAGACCATTAAGTCTGGTCTTTTTACTAGAATTTGAGTTCTGCACCCCACCTTTCTGCTGCTCCATCAGGGACTCTTTGTTGTGTTCCTTGTCAGGATGGTCTTTGGTGGTAGCCAGGCACCATCTAGTTCTTCTGGTCTCAAGCTGATGAAGTCTCTGGTTTATGTAACTCTTTCTGTCTCTTGGGCTTGTACTTTCCTTGTGTCTTTGGTGTTGTTCATTCTCCTTTACTCCAGGTGGGTTGGGACCAATTGATGCGTCTTATGGCTGCTTGCTATCTTTTAAGACCCCAGA